CCCCCGCCATGGTGGCCCGACGGTTTTAATTGTGGTGGTCGAGGAGGCAGCCTTCGCAGCTTGACATCAGGTGGTGGCTCCAGTTCGATGAGTTGCCAGTACCAGATTCAGTCTTGTCCCCTTTGTGGCACCGTCTGTGACCACCCTGGTCAGACCGCGGGCCACTTCTACCGCCGCCTCGACGACCTCTTCCGTCTCCGCTTCGGGCCCACGGCGGCCCTTTCGGACTGGCACAGCCTAGAACGTCGCCGTGTGCTGGTCTTTGAGATGGATATGGATCAGATACGGTCTGCTTTGTATGCTATGTATGCTGATGAATCTAGTGTTACTGGACCCTATTACTCTGCTGTGCCTAAACTAGGAGCCTCTGTTGTGTGCAGTCTAGGCTCCCCTGCTTTCTCTAGTGTAGGACCTCCCGACTTGTATAGCCTTGGTTCTACACTTGCTGCCCCGCCGGCCGACGCTACTACCGCGCTCTCCTTCATGCTGGACTTTGGTACGCTCGCCTGTTTCTTTCGCAACCACACCACTCTCACGCCGCTTCCTGCATCGGTAGTCGTCTCCCTTGCAAACCCCTCCTCCGGTCTGGTAGTCGCCCGTAGCTCCACCACGTTTCCTAGACACGAGCAGTACGCAGTCTGTACAGAGGTCGTCACTGGTGCTCCCCTCACCGCGTTTCTCCGGAACCCTGTGCCTAGCCTGTTCATGTTGCACATCGCGTCCCCCCAGGTGGCTCCGTCCCCCAGGTGGCTGCATCTACGCAGGTCGCCGTGGCTTGCTCGTGTCTGTCGCTCACTCACCCGTCACTGCTGTGGCACCACCATCTAGGTAACCTTGCTCTCCCGTGCCTCCGTCACATGTCACAGCACGGCCTTGTCTTAGGTCTCCCTGCGTCGCACCTTGCCCTCCCTCCCTCGCCCGCGCCTCCGTGCACGCCTTGCGTCGAGGGGCGGCAACGCATTGCTCCTCACTCCTCCTCGTTTTCCCCCACCACTGTGCCACTACAGACCCTGCACCTGGATGTTTGGACCCTGCAACTGGGCTGCGCCACGAGCGCTAATTCCTAGTTCTCGTGGATGACTACTCGTGCTACACCACATGCCTGACATTCTTATCCCACGGCTTGTAGCTGCACGAGTCCACCGCACCCAGTTTGTGCTTCGTCTACACTCCGACCATGGCGGCGAGTTTTCCTCCGGTCGGCTTGGCCAGTTTTGTTGTGCACAGAGCATCACCTAGTTGTACATACTCCCAGACTCCGAACAGCAGAATGGGATTGCTGAGCGATGCATCGGGTTGGTCATAGAGGTGGCGCATACCTCCATGCACGCCTTGCATCAAGGGGCGGCAACGCGTTGCTCCTCACTCCTCCTCGTTTTCCCCCATCACTGCGCCACTTCAGACCCTGCACCTGGATGTCTGGGGCCCAGCCCCGGTCTCAAGGCCTTGCCGCGAGCGCTACTTCCTGGTTCTCGTGGACGACTACTCGTGCTACACCACGTGCCTGATGCTCTTATCCCGCGGCTTGTAGCTGCTCGTGTCCACCGTGCCCAGTTTGTGCTTTGTCTACACTCTGACCGTGGCGGCGAGTTCGCCTCCGGTCGGCTTGGCCAGTTCAGTCGTGCGGAGGGCATCACCCAGTCGTACATACTCCCGGACTCCCAACAATAGAATGGGATCGCTGAGCGACGCATAGGGTTGTTCATGGAGGTGGCTCGTACCTCCATGATCCATGTCGGTGCACCCCATTTTCTGTGGCCATTCATAGTCTGCTACGCTGCCCACCAGCTTAACCAGTAGCCCCGGGCTTCGCGCCCGCAGCTTTCGCCGACCCTCCTCTGGATCAGGTCCCCTGGTGTCACGTCGGCGTTTTACGCATGAGGCTGCCTAGCTCACGTCCGTAACTCTTACGCGGACAAGGTCACCGCCCGCATTGTCCCTTGTGTCTTACTTGGTTTCCCCCTTGACACTTCTGACTAGCACTTTTATCACCAGCCGTCTCATGGCTTCCTCCACTCGCGTGACGTCACCTTTGACGAGTCTGTCTCCTTCTACACCTGCTCCCCCCACCGAGGTCTCCCATTACCCTGCCCTTGTTCCTGTCCCCACTCTTCCGGTAGCTCCCGCTCCCCTCCCTCCTCGTCCTACCCCGTCTGGTGTGTCTCACATCACTCCCCTTCCCTTGTTTGGCCTAGTGGAGAAGTCTGCTAACTATGGGGCTCCCACAGCTCCAGGTGCGCCGTCTATTTCTACGGCGCCTGCACCCCTGGCCTCGGTGCCTCCGTCGCCGCAGCACCAGGGGGAGGTGGGCTCTGGGAGTGTTGGCGCCGGTGGTGCTGTTTCTCAGGAGGGTGCTAGTTCTAGGGGTACGAGTCCTGAGGGTGCTGGTCCTAGAGGTCCTATCTTAGCGAGTACCGGCGGTATCCGCGGTGCTGGTGGAGGTCTTGGTGCCAGCATGGAGCAGGAGTAGCAGTAGCAGTAGCCGCAGCAGCAGCCAGTGTCCGCCCTTCGCCTCTCGCGACCGACCGTCCATGCCTCCCCCGGCGCCGCCTCCTCCCCCTGTCTACGGCCCCGTGTTCCCTCTGCCGGACTTGTCTCCGGCTTGTTTTCCCCCTTGTTCTCCTCCTATGTCTCCTCCTTTATCTCCTGACCCGACGCCTCCCTCCCACTTTTGGTCTCACTATCCCTCTCGTGCTCGCCACGCCTCTCCCGTTCCGAGTGTCCACCCTATGTTTCTCCATTCTCACGCGTCCCGTGCTCCTTCCGCTCTTGTTCTCCCATCGCCTCATCAGTCGTCTCTCGGTGTCTCCTCTCCTCCTCTCTCTGATCTCCTCCTCCGTACTACTCGCCCACTTGTCCTTCGTATCCTCGCCTCTCTTGTTATCGACCCGTCCATTCCTTTCTCCCGTCTCTCGGCTCTTGTCGCTGCCGTGGCTGACTTTGCCTCTACCTGTCGCCTTGACTACGCCACTGCTCTGGTCTCTGGCTGTGCCCGTCCTCAGTCCGCCGGGGGTGCACTTACACTTGGCAGTAACGTCCTAGAGGATAGGCAGTACGAGCTAACTTTCCTTGCGGAGGCCGCTCCTCATCTTGCTCCATGCTGCTAGCCCCTAAGGGTGACCCATAGGCTCTTGACATCCCAAAACCTCGCACCTACAGTACGCTGAGGCGACTATGGAACCCTATGTCTCTCAGAAGATAGCTACCATGGGCGCAGAGATGGCATCTTGGAGATCCACCGGCACGTACGTTGACGCAGTTCCCCTACATGGGGTGAACATAGTCGATGGCTGGTGGCTCTTCAAGGTAAAGTGCCCGCCTGGAGAGCCTCCGGCGTTCAAGGCGCGTTACGTTGCTAGAGGCTTCAGCTAGCATGACGGGTTGACTTCTTTCCGACCTTCGCCCCAACCCCGAAGATGACCACTCTTCGGGCGCTGCTTCACGGGGCAGCACAGCACGACTGTGAGCTCCACTCATTTGACCTCTCCTCTGCATTCCTCGAAGGCCGCCTGCATGAGCAGATCTACCTGTGCCGTCTGCCAGGCGTCTCTGGCAGATTCTATCCTGGGACCCAGTGGTTCTTCCAGCGCCCGGTCTACGGTCTGCGGCAGGCGCCCCGTGAGTGGCACAATACGTTGCGTACTACACTCGCAGACCTCCAGTTCTTTCCGTCCTCTGCTGACCCATCTCTCTTCGTTTGCTCAGGCCAGAATCTGTTCTACATTCTAGTCTTTGTTGACAACCTGGTTTTCGTTACTGTAGACAGAGACGCACTGGCCTCGGTGAAGGCCAAACTACTGAGAAAACACACTTGCATTGACCTAGGAGAGTTGACCCGCTACCTTGGACTGCAGATCTCCAGGGACAGAGTAGTGCGCACCATCACTCTCTTACAATCACACATGGTGCACCACGTTCTTCAAATTTTCGGCCTTCAGTTCTCCTCAGCACTGCCCACCCCTTTGCCTGTCGACCACAAGCTCTCGGCTCCAGCCCCTGACGAGCCGGTCGAGTCTAGTGGTCAGTACGCAGAGCTCGTGGGCTGCCTCATGTACCTCATGACCTGCACTCGCCCAGACCTTGCATACCCTCTCAGTATCCTCGCATGCTTTGTTGTGACTAGCATACGCCGACCACAGCACTGGTCGGCTGCCAAGAGGGTGTTGCGATATCTGGCGAGTACATCAGGCTTGGGGCTAGTGCTCGGAGGACGCCGTCCAGTGGTTCTCACATGACACACACACGCTTCATGGGCAGACGACGCTGAGACACTCATGTCCTCTCAGGGCTACTGCTTAGCCTTGGTGCAAGCGTCATCTGGTGGAGGTCCACCCGCTCGTCTTCTGTTGCACAGTCCAACAGTAAGGCTGAGATCTACGTTGATGCCATGGCGGCACAAGAGCTTCGCTGGCTGACGTTCTTGCTCACTGACTTAGGTGAGCGGCCTAGCTCTACCCTGCTCCTGTACGCTGACAACAGGTCTATGATCCTCCTGTGTCAGGAGGCCCGACTAGAGGGCATGGAGAAGCACATCTAGCGGCGGTACTTCCTCCTTCGCGAGCTACAGCAGCGTCGCCAGGCCCGCGTCACAGGCGCCTCCGGTGCCAACACAGGTGATATCTTTACGAAGGCGCTTGCGCCTACAGATCATCAGCGGCACTGTTTACAACGTTGTCTGGTTCCAGTAGCTTCTCACTTGCTAGGACCCTGACTTGTGTACTGCTTATTATAGTATCTTGCCTGTACACTTGCTGACTGGCCTTGTGGCTCTTGTCTTAGAGGCTGGACTAGTAGTGCCGTCCTGCGTTACTCTTGTTGAGTTCGTACGCTTGCTGACTGATCTTCGGACCCCTGCCTCTGAGGATGGACTAGTAGTGCCGCCCTGAGCTGCGTGTCTCTTGCTAGGCACTGCCCCTAATTTAGCCTAGGGGGTGTGTCAACTTAAACATATGTGTTGTATGTATAATTATAGGCTAGATGGGTAAGTGCTCTTAGAGAGTACAACACCAAACCATATATTCCACCTGTATGCCTTGCTAGCTACACTTCGCTACTCTTACAGTTCTACACCGGTTGTCTAGTTACACTTGCTGACTAGCCTTGTGGCCCTTGTCTCAGTGGCCTGACTAGTAATGCTGCCCTGAGCAGCTTGTTACATACATCAGAGGTCAGACTAGTAGTGCCGCCCTGGTTTGCTGTGATGCATTTGCTGCCAGACTCTGCCCCTACCTAGTCTACGGGGTGTGTCTGCGTATATATGTACATGTACTGTAGGCTAACTAGGGCAGAATGTAGAGGGTACAACACACATATAGCAACTCTGTCCTGCATGTGCCTCCTCAATGGATTCTCTCACTTTGACACCCTCCCCCTCTTTCCCCTTCCATGCGCTTTCCTAACTCTCTCTCCTCCACCATCTCCATTCGCCCCTCCTTATTCAACCCCATATCACCATCTCCCATCTCCCCCTGCTCCACTCCCCCCTCCCCCTTTGACCCCATCTCAGCATATCCGGCCCAACTCGGACAATCCTCATCATCATCCGGAAAATTCGTCAACGCACGGGGCCCACGCAATTTTATCGCTGCCCGGTCGTACGCCCGGGCAGCGTCTTCCGGGCAGGTGAACGTCCCGAGCCACACGCGGGACTTCTTCTTGGGAAATCGAATCTCCGCCACCCACTTTCCGCAGTGCCGCTGCCGCACGCCGCGGTACTTGTTCTTGTCTTTTTTCACGCGCTTGCTGGGTGGCGAAGTGAACGGGCAAGGAGGGGTAGTACTGGCACAGGGAGCTGCACTGGTGCTGGTGCTGGTGGGGCGGTTCTCAGTGGCATCAAAGGGTGTGTTTCTGTTGGAGGGTTCTTCATCACCATCAGTGGGGATTTGCCTGGATCCGGCTGAGGTGGTAATAATAGGTGCCCCTGGGTTTGCTGTGTTCTGCATTGCCCTGCTGCGTGAGCGGGACCCTCCTTTGTTGAGTGAGTCTCCTCTGCTGCACCCACTGTCACCACTCCCGCTGCTTGCATCACCGAAACCACCTCCAACCCCACTACCATTCCCACCACCACTACCACCTCCAGCACCACCATTCCCGCAACCACCATCCCACCGTGTATCGTCAGCCCTTGCTGCTAAACCCTCCGCTGACCTACCTGTCGTGGCCCCCTGGTTTATTCCTCTTGCCAGCCGTTCCCCTCTCCCATCCACTTCCTCTCCCTCTCCCTCCCTCCCTCTCTTCTCCCCTCTCCCTCCCTCACTGCTACTGCAAACCCCTCCCATTCGACCATCCCTCCTTGGATATACCACGGATCTCCCCTCTCCCAACCTTACTGCTCCCGCTATTCCCTCCCACTTCACCGGGTCTCCCTCACTCCTTTCCCGAAACCCCTCAATTTGACCATCCTTCAAACACACCAGTGGCCTCCCCTCTCCCCCACTTACTACCCCCCTCTTCCCCTCCCATTGAACCGCCCCCCCTTCACTGTTTTCCCAAACCCTTCCTGAAAAGCATGCAGCAGCAGCCACAGCACCACCACCAGCAGTACCAGCAGCAGCAGGGGCAGTAATTGCATGGTGTGTGTTGAAGTGCCGAGATGAGTTGCGTAGCTGAGATGAGCTGAAGAGCTGAGATGCTTGACGTGAAAGCAGTGCGGCAAGAATGGGACTGGCTGCGACAGCTGATACCAGAGCAGCAGCAGTAGCATAAGCAGGAGGAGGAGAAGGAGCAGGAGCAAAAGAAGAAGCAGGAGCAGAGGGAGGAGGAGGAAGAGTGATAGCAGCAGCAGGAGCAAGGGCAAGAGAAAAAGGAGCAGCAGCAGCAGCAGCAGCAGCAGCAATGGATGCACCAGATCCAACTGCTGTGGCTGGTTGCGGGTGGGAGTTTTCGGGCATGAGCGCGTGCGAGGAAGTGAGGGCATGTGTGGGAATGAGGGCGCGTGCATGCTTGGAAACTGGGCCAGCTGGTCGCATTCGAAAGTGGGCTGCACCAGCCCTCATTCCTTCTCCTCCTCCTTCTCCTCCTCCTCCGCTCTCTCCCCTCCCCCATTCCCCTACTCTCCACTGCTGCTTCTCGGCATCTTCCCTCAATTTCCCTCCATACTCGCAATTTTGTACACCTTCAAAACGCACTCCACTCCCCAGTTGACCTTCCGTCCCCACTCTCTTCCCCCACCAGCCCTGCTCGCAAGTGTCCGCTGCACATCCCTCTCTCAAGCCCGGTACGAGCACGGCACCAGCAGCAGCAGCAGCAGCAGCAGCAGCACCACCACCACCACCAGAAATAGCAGCTCTAGCACCAGCAGCAGAAGGAGCAGCAGCAGCAGCAGCAGCAGCAGCAGCAGCAGCAGCAGCAGCAGCAGCAGCAGCAGCAGCAGCAGCAGCAGCAGCAGCAGCAGCAGCAGCAGCAGCAGCAGCAGCAGCAGCAGCAGCAGCAGCAGCAGCAGCAGCAGAAGCAGCACCATCAGCAAAAGCAGCAGCAGCAGCAGCAGCAGCAGCAGCACGACCACCACCACCAGCAACAGCAGCAGCACCACTATGACCAGCGAAACCGCCACTAGCAGCAGCAGCAGCAGCAGCAGCAGAAGCAGCAACACCAACACCAACACCAACACTAGAACCGGCAACAGAAGAACCAAGGGTAGAAGCTCTGCTGGCTCTGGCGGGGGCAGAAACAGACCCAGCAGTATGGCCAGTCGTAGCTGAGGCAGTAGCAAGACGAGCAGCACATCCAAAGGTAGTAGACACGACAATGTCAGACACACAAGTATGGCCAGTGGTAGCTGAGGCCGTGGCAGCAAGAGCAGCACATGCAGGGGCAGAAGCAGTCGCAGCAGTATAGCCAGTGGTTGTAGAGGCAGTAACAGTGCGGACAGCAAAGCCAGGGGTACAAGACTCACTCGCAGCAGTGGGAGTAACGGCAGAAACATCAGCAACGGGAGACAGGGAGAGGGACAAGGAGAGGTCAAGATCTTCTGCATGTGTGTCGGCGTTTCTCAGCTCCGATTTGAAATCTGTGCCCTTCGATCCCGGCTCCGACTTGACTAGTACAAATGGTCCAACTTTTTCCAGGTTTGCTGCAGTGAGTGAGCTGCTTTTCTGAACCCCTAGAGTGCTGGCAGTTGGAGTGATAGAGCCAGTTCGAGTGGCTCGAGTGACAGAGGGCCGAGATGACTGAGAAGTGAAGAGGTCTGTGACAGAGATTGCATGGCTTTCGTCTGCTGCTCCACTTGAAAAGACCTCCTCTTTCGTCTGACCCATCGGAGTGACAGAAGCAATTAAACTGGCAGGGGCAGTCTGATTGAAAGAGGGCCGAGAGTCAAAGAGACCTGCGATGCGGATCGTATTGCTCACTTCAGCTGCTCCTTTATCCAAGCCCTCTTCTTTCTTCAGCATGCCTGCCAGACCTGCGGATCCATCAAATCCGTCCAACCCTGCATCAGTTTCGCGAGTACTTTCAACCTTCAGGTCGCTTGGAAATCTACCCCTGCTTTGCCCTTCAATCCCTCCTGTATCTCTTCTCCCTCCTCTCCCTCCTCTCCCTCCTCTCCCTCCATTCTCTCCATTCTCTCCATTCCCTCCCTTCCCTCCTCTTCCTCCCCCAACGCCCCTTTCACTTCCTCGTCCAAACCCTCCTTCTCCCTCGGCCGTTCTCCTCCCTCCCACCAACCTACCCCCTGCTCCTTCCGCACCGGCTCTAGCCCTTCCACGCCCCACCATGTTTAGAAAGGAGACCAAATCGGGCAATGAATGAGCTCCCCCGTCTTTGATGGGCCTCCGCGGTTCTTCTTCCCCATCTTCACTCCCACCAACTTTCCCTCTAGTACTCATAGCTAGATTTCCTGTAGCAGGCTGGTCAGGTACATGTACTGCTAATTCCCCTGAGCTAGCTGCTCCTCCCCCTTCCCCACCCCCCCAATCACTCTCTCTACTTATTGCTAGAGTCCCTGTTGTAGGCTGGGCAGGCGCGGCTGCTGCTGCAGCTCCTGAGCTTGCTGCTCCTGAACCTGCTGCTCCTCGGGCAGCTGCATGAATCCCTCGCTGCGCTTCCCTATTTAGCAAAGCAGCCATATCTGGCAATCTGGTTGCTTCTAGGGGTTCTGAGCCTGATTCACCTGTCATCCTCAGCATAGCAGAAATGATCATTTGCTGCTGCTGCTGCTGCCTTTGCCACTCTTGTTGATGTTGTTGCTGTCGACCCTCCTGTTGTTGCTGCATCTGCTGTTGATGGTGGCGTAGTTGTTGCTGCTGCTTCTCCCCCTGTTGTCGCTGCTGCCGCCATTCCTGTTGCTGTTGCAGCTGCTTCTCCTGCTGCTGCTGTTGCTGCTGCCCCTGATGCTGTTGCTGCTGCCCCTGCTGCTGCTGCTGCTTCCCCTGCTGCAGATGCTGCTGCCCCTGCTGCTGTTGCTGTTGCCCTTGATGCTGTTGCTGCTTCCCCTTCTGCAGTTGCTGCTGCCCCTGATGCTGTTGCTGCTGCCCCTGCTGCTGTTGCTGCTTCCCTTGCTGCTGTTGCTGCAGCCCCTGCTGCTGTTGCTGCTTCCCCTGCTGCTGTGGCTGCTGCCCCTGATGCTGTGGCTGCTGCCCCTGCTGCTGTTGCTGTTGCTGCCTCAGAAGCTGCAGCTGCATTTGCCATGAGAGCAGCAAAGTGTTATCCTCTCCCGTTGCCGCAGGTGGGGCGAGAATCGCAGGAAACGTAAGCGATAACGAGCGCCCGTGAGACGGCTGCTTCTGAGTCGACTCAGAAGCAGGCGGGGCGAGTACAGCCGGAAACGTCGCCGATATGGATCGATTGTGCAAAGAATGGGGTAGGAGGGGAGAAGAGACGGATAGCGGCACAGACACCGTGAGGGACTGGTCCGCAGCTTTCCGCGTTGATACGGATGAAGCAAACGGTTGGAGATGGGATGCAGCGAATGCTGACGCTTGCCCATCATGTAATGATGGGGGATGGGGCCCAGCAGGTACCGACGCTTGCCCATCGTGTGATGATGGGGGGTGGGGGCCAGCAGGTGCCAACGCTTGCCCATCGAGTGATGGTGTAAGCGGCAGGGATGCAACCGGAGTGCTTGGGTTAGGGATAAGTTCATGCTGCTGAGGAAGAAGTCCCACGGAAAGGCGAGACGAGGAAACAGGCGGAGAAGAAACAGGAAGAAAAGAAGAAGCAGGGGGGAACGAAGAAGGTGGCGCGGCGTCCCCGAGATGTGGAAAGGCAGTCGCAGGCTGCTGCACTGCTGGCGCCCTTGAAAGATCCTTTCCAGCATTCCACATGTTGCCTCCACCGGTTTTTACACCTGCTGGAAAGGCTGCTGCGACTGCTCTATGCGCCTGCTGCTGCTGCTGCTGCGTGGCTTTTGCTTGCTCTTGCTGCTGCTGCCGCTGTCGCTGCTGTTTTTGTTGCTGCTGCTGCCGCTGCTGCTGCCGTTGCTGCTGCATGAAACCCAGCAGCTGGCTTAGAGCCCCTTGGGTCAGGCTCGCATCACCTCCGCCTCCAGACACACTCCCTCTCTCGGCCGAAAGAGATTCAAACCCTTCAGGCTTAATCAAGGAAGAAATAGCACTCTGAATAGGCTTCACCTCAGCATGACCTGTAGAGTCTGCAGCGCTCGGTGTCAGCCTACTTGACTCAGCTTGGCACACGGAGCCGAGAAAGGCGGAGAGAGCAGCAGGGCTGCTGGACGAAAGGTCAACAGGGACGGTGGAGAGCGGTGGAGTAGGGTTTCCTAGGGGTGGAGCATTGCCAGGAAGATAAGGATGCTGTGAATCTGAGTTGATAGGGAGGGGAGGGCCGGCTGCCGCAGCCAGGGGAGGGGTCACTGTGAGAGAGGGGCTTGGTGTTGACGAGGCCATGATGAATCCTCGGAGGAGCGGGATGGAGAGATGGGCTGCGGTTGGCTCGTGAGTGGGTGGCTTTAGGAGTCTCCTCAGAAAGATCTGACGAGTTCCTGAATCCGGGACTGGAGCGAGAGCCAGTGGTAATTTTGGCCGGGGGAGGACGACTCTCTCCCTCAACGGTAGATCCTCGTGCTGCCGTTGGTGGTGCCTCTCAAAGGATGCCCTTTATCACCTCAAACGGGTAGTTAAACGCTTGAATCTTTTAGGAGCAGCAGGGTCTTCCAATTATGCCGCTGAGCAACCGAGTTTTTTTGGTCGTGAGGATGGCTAATAGAGGACTTCAGCGGGAAACTGCATCAGAGATCTGAACTTTTTCGAAGGAGGAATTCCCTGGGGTAAAAAGGCCCAGGACTCCTAGAAGGTTGAAAAAGGGAGCTGGGCAAGGATGAATCCACTCCTTTGCTCGCTGCTGAAAGCATGTGACTCGGCCTTATTTTCCCTAACCGACCGTTTTCCGTAACGAGACTACGGAATCGTTCAACTATCGTATGCTTGACACTTGTGTTACCAAATTCGCGGTGCAAGATGCAGCCCAAGATCCCGGCCAAGATGGAGCTGTGTGATTGCTTCATAAATAAGGGCGTGTCTCGGGCGTTTATTTCGGGCATCGAAGGGGTCAGTACGTTTCAGAATCGTAACGGACATTTTGGACCACCTGTAAACCGAAAACGGGGTCTCCATCAGAAAACGCCAGCAAGACAGGGAAGCGCAGGCATGCTGCTGCGTTTTTTCTCTGCCCAATCATTTTTGGTCGTACGGGGCTGACGAAACCATGGCGAAATCGTCTCCAGCCCAGTGGACTTGATCGCAACGTGCGTATTATGTTTGGAGGTACCTGCGAGAGGTGTTTGGTGTGGCGGTGTCTGTGCGTGTCACTTGGGAGAGTGCCGAAGGGCTACAATTGTTTAAATGTGGTAACCCGTGGCTAAATGAAGTGTAAACGGAAGCGCGAGACACGCTCTAAGGATTTCACAGTACGTACAGGGACTGTCAAGAGGTGGGAATGAGTGCTGCTATGTGATCTGGTTGAGCAGCAATAGAAGGGGTTGCAGAGCAGAACGAAGCCCCTGTTTAGCGTCCCTCCCATGAGAAAGAAACGCGAACGTGCTTTCAGCTGCACCAAATGCGCTCGTTTACGCCTTCCGCTGTACTTTACGACCAAACTATGTTACCCGCTCTGTGCACCGAATCCAGGGATTGGGCGGTAAGAACACGCTCCTAGCAGGATTTGTTTCCATTACAGAACAGCTTTCAGTCTACATTAGTACACCAAGTATTCATTAAATTCGTCAATTTTTTTACAGAAGGTAATGATTGTTTTATCGGTATAGTGAATATAACGCTATACAGTCGCTTGTCTAAGAAGCCCACTTTCGCGGGACTCGCTCTCCGTGCAGCATTACAAACCTGAACCAAACTCGGGATGACTGTAACAAAAAAATGAAATCTAATATGTATCGTTTAATCAAATTATTCGATATACGTCGCCGACAAACCCTTCTCATAACCATGCACAGCTGGGATGCCAAACATGTATAGTTTCGGAATGCAGCCGAGAAAACTACCTTCGCTTGTCCAGGCCATAGCAAAATTATGAGGCTGGAAGGAATGGAAAATCACAACCCATCCCCAAAAATGGGGCATGAACAGAGGGTGGAAGTGCATATCAGAATGTCCAAAGACGAAAACCATCCACCATGATGATTAGTCACCACCAGACTTTGTAAAGCAATGTTTCTTTAGTCTCCCTTGTGATCACCAGAACAGAAAAATCATAACAGATCCCACAGCCCTTGGCAACTACACCAAAGTATTCGTTGCACATACTAGAATCTTTTTTTTTTTTAACATTCACCCCAATTTGGGCCATGGTTATAATTTCGCACGGAGGGTGAGTCCCCTCAAACTAGGGTTTCTCAAGCGAATGACTGGTCAGCGTTACAATCACATTGCATATCAAATAGTAATTGCCGCATGAAATGGAACCGATGTTTTAAACAAATACTTGGTGTAGTACAACCAGCTAGGCTTCTTAGCTGTGAGAAACCCAGATACAAGGCTCTGTTTCTATGCTTACTTAAAGCCTTATTCTATTGGGTCCACTGTGCACAAGAACCAACTCAATCAACAGCAGTAGCATCCTTAAGTTACGTACTACACTTTTTTCGGCTACTCGTAAAACCGTCGATGCATCTTATCTTAATCAAAGGTAAAGCATATCGTCAACTCTTTAAGCCTTGATTGGTTCGCTAGTGCAAATTTTGAAAAAAATGCTTGACGAGGGTTGCGACCTAATACGACTTCGTGGGAAACCAAATCCAACCATTTATACATTGGCATATTTACACACTTATAAAAGCACTCGATTCGCGAAAAGAATCATCGCGCTGTGCTTACAATATCTTACACTCAAGGGCCACTCGGCTTGTTATGCGTAATTATGGTGCACTTTAATCGTAATTTATATAGCCTAAATACGTTATGAAACAGAGTCCAACTCAATGTTCGGATTCCGCCAAACGTGGGCTGGGATTTTCCTATTTCCATATTTTATTGTATATTTGGGAGTGCTCGCGAAACGCTGTCGCACATCTGTTTGAATAGTGTTGTTGCCAAAATTTAGCCCAGCTAGAAACGGGATACAATCTTAAAGTGAGGATCTCAAGACGAAAAAAAAAAAAAGAAAAAAAAAACCAAAGCTTTTATTTCGGCAAGTTGCGAAAAGTGTGGTGAAGGGTGTTGGTATTGAAGTAAACCACGTATTTAGGGTGGCCAGGATCTAGAGTTTAGTATACTTCATCAGTTGGAGGGGCGCAATTATTATTTCGCTTCTCTTACGAACTCAAAACCAAATTGGAGAACGAAAAATTATGAATTTTTTTTTTGTGAAGATTTGGCTTCGTAGATTCAGCGTTTGTTTCACACAAGGTAGTGGGGCTGAGATCTTGCTAGGGCTGCCAATTTTGCAACTCTCAATCTGGCAGTAATCCATCTTACCAATACGAATCACATTTTTGTTTGGCGATTCCCGCCTATACTGCCATGTACAAGTTCAGGTTTCTTGCCCCACCCCCCCCCCCCCCACCCCCCCCGCCACACCCACCCAACCCGTCCCACTTTTCCCATCGAAGAACATGGCAGGTTTGCATTGCCTGCTTTGTAAGAGGCCCCCAACGCTGCCTCGTTGGAAATCCTTCGCGAGCTTGGAATTTTGATGCTAGCTGCTCGGTTACGAGGGTCTCAAGGTGCAGCATCTTGAGGAAAGAGGACTTGCAACCTGATTGCAAATTGCTCCAAAAATTCCAAAAATGCCCTGCCCTAGATTCCATCTGCCAATTGCTAGCAAGGTGTTCGGCAAGCAACCCATAACACTGCATGCATTTTCTCTTTAGAGTGCCTCCAAAGGAACAAACTTTTGAGAGTGCATTCCTAGAAAGCAGCTGCAATAGTAAACGAAGCTACAGAATGTGATTCGTCGTTGAGAAACGACATTGAAGTAGTGATGGCGGAGAACTGTGGACTTGTGTTGCACCTAGAAGGAAGCTTCACATGAAGCTCCGAAACAAGTTGCAGCTTGCTAGGGCAATCAAATTCTAATGTCTTTCAAGAAAACGACAATCATCCGCCTTTCCCATGACCCTTCGCGGTGAAGACAAGAACTGCTCTTGTCTCTTACCAGCTGGGTCAAGTTCCCGTCGGTTTTGGTTCGAAGTCACCCCTCAACCACACAAGGAACCAAACCTGTGCGCGAATGAATTTCTCAGCGAATTTCCCTGCTGTATAAACGGGGACACTGAAACGCCTGGCGACAGTATGGTGGTGAATGTTGCCTCCATAGGCAGATAGTGCGAGGGTGACGCGCCTCCACTGCCTCCCTAAGTAGTGGGATGAGGCTGCGAATGTACTATCCCGAACGAAGTGCGATCAACACAACCCACTATGTACACCTCTGGTCTTGTCACGATTAATAAATAATGTCTTTTTAAGTAAAACAACAGTAGCTAATTTGCCTTTTTCAAATGGGTGCCTAGTAAAATCTACCTTACATTTACAACATAAGGGATCACTGCTCTATTTTAGACGGAATTCCCAATTGCAGCACTCTTTTAGACTCTCGCGGTCCGCCTTGTCTTCATCGATGTCATCAACCAGTTCACAGTTTACGTTTTTCCCGGAATCCCCACCCTTCTCTCTCGATTTCGCCCGAGTTTGGCGGACCTCAATGTCTGTCTAACCCGGGTTTAGGTTAAAGTACCTTGTCATAGTTACAGCGTCGATCCACAAGTTTTGCTAAGCATTGAGTGTACCGTGATGATAGGAAGAACGGCTTCGCTGGGTTATTGGATAGAAAGAGACGGTGAGGGAGATGTCACTCAGCCGGGGGAGCAGGCTCAGGTTATGTGTGTCTGTGGGAAGGGAAGGTTGGGAGAGGGGAGTACCTAATGGCACCGCTGACCCGTTTAGGGCACCCGCAAATTCTGTTACGTCCTAAAATTATAATTTTATTAATTCTTGGCAACTACCCTTATGAACTGTTCATTATGAACTGTTCATTATGATCTGTTCTAACACTTGACAGACATCCTTCGCACACCCAGCCTAAAAGTACAGCACCCCCTGGAGTGACCAGAGTCAAGTTATACCCCTCAACCCCCACGAAAGGGCGACTTTTCAAAAGAACTGCGTTTGAAGGTCGCGCCCTGCAATTGGGCCGCGGGTTATAAACAACTTCATCTCCTAAGATAAGTATATTTACTGGGAACGGATTCTTGCAAGTTCATTTGTTCATGATTGGGCCCTTAGGGCGTGTCCAACGCGTACGTTTACAGTACACGAATCGCAGTTCAGTAGGATATATCGCGATCAGGAGCGGTTTTCAAGCCTCACCACGTCGGACCTTTGAATCCCATATTCAACCGTATAAAGTGAATTGTAAACATATGCGCTGGACACGCCCTTATCGCGGTACCTGAGATTGGAAGGCAATACTTTCGAGTTTGGCCACCCATGGCCCACACCTCAACTCAACCCCAAAAAGAAATGTAACCCCCTCATGGTAGGCATATCATATCGTATCGTGAACGCCCGATGTTACTACAACACTACTTGGCGAAGGCTAGACAATACAAGGCCGAATCAGAATCAGACTTCCAACCAAAAACACACAAGACCTACCTGAGACGGGTTGAAGCAGACATTTTACACTTTGCAACATTAGCCTGTGAATTCTTGCTTGCTAGTCATTACGCATTGCACAGCGATGGCAAAGACGGCCAACCTTGTATCACTTGCTTGGACGAATAGGTTTTTCAATCGCATAATTCAAGTACACATGCATGCCCTTGCGCTCGCCACTATCGGGTTTGGGCGTAACGTTCAGTTGTAGCTACTTGTGCTGTAGCTGCACAATTACTCAGAAACAGGTACGTAGAACATTTTAAACCATATAACTCTACATGCACTTCAATCCTATGGGGTTGGTAAGTGAAAAAAAAAGAAGC